ATTTTTTGCTATTAATTACGTTGGGAAATTGTTTGAGCAAAGTCAGGGACCAGCAGTGTATATACCTTTAAATATTTAAAAAAATATATATGGAATGTCAAAATATCCACTATCACTGTTGTATGTATTAGAAAAACCGTGTTTAAATGCTATTGCATGCTTTTAATCCTACTAGTCACTTAAAAGCGTTCCAGATATGCAAAGGAAAGAAATGCGCCCAGTCGCGAGTGCAGCCACAGCTAACGTTTGCAGCGAAGACATTAGCACTTTAGCGAGCCATAGCAAAGCTCTTCGCCAAACTAAACTCGAGGAGAACACCCCGCGTATAAGGAAGTCTTTGACCGACAGGCTGGTGAATGTTCTAGCCAATTGGAGAGCAACGACAGGTTAACAGGTGTTGCGAACCGTGTCCAATGGTGAAAAGAAAACCAAACTTGAGAAAAGGACAGCAATATTCCCTCCGTGGTGGACGTAAGTAAAGGGTTACAGGCAGCACTTGAGACTAGTCTCAAATATAGTGGAATTTAAATGGCTACGACTGCATCTGTTAAGAACAATAAATAACTTTATAAAGCCATTTTCTTTGTTATATATCCATCTTTTGATCTTTTATGAATTTAAATGAAAATACCTCAAGTTGAGGTCTTTTCTCAGTAATTTATATACTGAGATTTATATCTCAGTATATATATATATATATACACTGTATATCTACACATAATAGATGATATTTATATATATAAATTTCTACCTGTCTCAAAATAGTTTCCATTGAACACTTCAACATTTAATTAGAGATGGTACAAGTGGAATAAAATCTATTTTTGTCCAAAACTAAATCAAACAAGTAGTGGTGAAGCAGTCATCTTAAGTACTGTTTCACGCCCTTTTTCCTCTTCCTGCTCCCTCCTTCACAGGACTCCGTGTACATCCTGACCTCCTATGCTTTCTGCTGACTTGTAAAATGTTATGACTAATTAATGAAGGGAGATGCAAATATAGCTGCTCTACGTGCTGCGTTACACTCCTACCGCAGCCTCAAAACAACAGAGAGACACGAGAAACGAGTCCAAATTGCGGGAAGCAATTGGAAGAACACAGCCATAACAATATGTGTAATAGCAGCTAATAAAAGAAACAGTCAAAGCCGAAATTGCTACGTTTTGGCTTCACAGAGATAAAATAATTTACTGCGGCTCCCCAGAGCAACATTCTGTAGACCCGACTTCCTCTAAGTTGTATCTATGGCATGAGCTTAGGGGGAGACGAAGAAAAATAAAACTACCTATTAATAATTCAGATTTTCAGCGTGTAATGTTATGTACAGTAGCACCAGGTTTATTTGTGGAAATATACAGATATACCCCGAGGCAGGCTGAGCTGTTTTTTATGCACTGGAGAACCCAACTAAAACAAATCTGGTCTGGTGGCTCTTAAGAACTCAACTGCGGGACACAAGTACATAAATTACACACGGCGTCTTGAGCTGTCTCCCATATTAATAATTGTTTGTGCACTGTTTTAGCCACTGAGCTGCTCGCCCCTGTGAGCGAGCGGACTTCGCTGCACACAGGTTTATCAAACTTATTCCAAAAAGCTCTGGAAGAAAGTTATCTACAGATAAGAGAGAGGGGGGAGGAATGAAATAAAGAGTGTTTTTCTATTCATTGCCTCAGTGACCAGTGAAGTGTTCAAGCAATTTCATTACAATATACATGGCAGCCTTTGATAAGACTTTTGTAGAAACCTTAGAAGAAGAAAAAAAATACAGCACAGGCACGGTTACACATGCAGCTGAGTATTTTGTGTGCACGAGTGTTTGTTAGAAGAGGCCGTTTCAAGGTTTGGACAAATGCAAGATTGTCACGCTCGTATAAAAAAAGAGGGGCTCTGTCACGGAGGCTGCCAAGTAAAGGCTTAAATCACATGCCTGGAATACACAATGACACAAACAATCGCACACAGACACACACAGCAACACACACAATCTCCCTAAATTATGCAGAGTAAGACCGTTCCTGAAAGCATCCACTTTCAACATCTGCTTTCGTCACACTGTTGCTATGCATATCCTCCACCTAAAGAAATCAAAGAAGTGACTTCTTCTTTCATTTTTTTTTTTTTAAATCAACTATACGGTTTACATGCCTCGTGATAACAGTCGCACATTTTAACTGCTTCTCTCCCTGTATTTTTTAAGCCGCACTCTGTGTTTATGGATGCCAGTCATTTTGATAAGACATTTAAATTTCTAAGTTATTGTTATTCCTTCAAAAAATAAGGACCTGAAAGGTTTCTCTAATTTATATTCAGGGAAACTGTGGGCAGATTTTAAAATGTAGTGGATTATAGTGCTTCCTCCGTCAATTCACTGATTGCCATTCACGACGAGTCTGACTCAGTGCACCGAGGCAAACATTTCAGCGAGAGAAAGTCCACATTCTCTCTTCCCGGCGATGTGATTATGTGCATTTCATCATTAAAACAGTATAATTTTGCTTGTTAGCGAGTGTGACCGTGTCAAGTCTGTCGAGACAAGTGTCCCTTTCTCCTTGACACCATTGTGAACACTAGCCAGCAAAAGCAGAATGTCGCCACCTAAAGGCAGGATTTATAGCCTTTTTGATTCACCATTCTTCCGCCTGCCCTTTAGTCACACTGATCATGTCTCAAAAAGTCCAGCTATGGTATGATAAGAGTTTGAATGTTCATAGAATTATACACACTGAACTTATTTAAATGAATTAGAAGATACAGTTCTCTGACTTTAGAAAGATATACCAGGGTAACCTGCCTTTCAGTTTTGAACAGGAGCAGCAGAGCACATGGGACTGATCTGAGGGCAGCACTTTCCTTACAGTATCAATTTGCTAAATCTAAAAATAACAATGGCAAAGTCTACATCTTACTTTCAAAAGGACATGAAGTGGACAGATAGATGTTTAGGTGATTCACAAAAATCACTTCATCCCTATTACAGATAAATTAAGCAGCGGATTGATTTGAAACTCAAACCCAAACTAAATAAATCTTTTCAACCCCTTAAGCTGATTTCAGCATCATTAAGTATCATCTGTCTCCTTTTCCTCTGTTTTTTTTTTTCTCCTTAAAAATGAAACGAAACTCTCCAGTGGGCCGGAACTTGCATGGTTTCAGTGGGCTGGAGATCGCAATAATAAGGCCAGTTGAGCGCAATTGATACATCTACACTATTCTTCTCCATCAATGACAGAGCTAGCCCAGCGTTTCAGCCAATGCACCACAATAAAATATCATTTGAGTCCAGCGGCACTGTGAAGAGACTGGGAGTTGCAGGAAGCAACAGTAGCACGAGTAGGCGCAGATGAAGACAGCAGCACTATAAGTACCCATGTGAGAGTGAATGAGCTGCCGATATGCTCTCCTGCTTTTATCCATCTCTTTATTTATTTTCGCATGCTGCCTCCCTCCCAGTGGCAACTATAGTGACAGATGGGCTGAGCGGCCTTGGGATCAATGGGAGGGGAATTCTGTCTTTGTTTCCTGACATTTTTCCCATAGACACTCTCCTCTGACTCAGGTTACTTACTGTCCATACGAATGGAAAGCGGAGGCAGAAGCAGGGATGAGGTAGGAAAGTGATATGCTCCTGTACAGCCTCTGAAGAAACTTAATGCCTTAGGCTATCTCCCTCTACACAGGTTTCTGTTGAATAATACAGTAGAGCACCCTGCACATCCTGCTCCGTCTAGGGGACCCTGTGTAATCAAGACACTAAGGAATGTGTTGCTGCCTCTGCTTGTTTTGCCCCCCCTCTGACAGAATGATGAGGGCCAAACAAGGTTGGCAACAGAAATTCATCATTATCAGAAAAAAAGTGCATATTGAACCAGCAGTTTCTCAGACCAGGAAGCCTTTACTTTGTTCTGAACTTTGCCCTAGACAGCTGGGTTAAAATATAACATTAGGAGAGGGGCAAGGGTGGGAACCAGCCTTCCTCCCTGGTGGGAATCCATCGCATCTGATCACAGTCATCACATCTATATCCTGTGCAAACAGCAGGACAGCAGACAGCAGGGAGCCTAATACTAACACTGCAACAAGAGTTGGCAACGTGCCACGTCATTGGCAAAAAGTATCGAAAATGTAAGAAAAGCAAATTAATTAAGCAAAGCATTTACCTAATAACGGGCAACTATGTAATATCTAAGAGCTGCTTAAACTGGCCATGATCCTTACGAATACATGCTACCGATTTAAGCAGACCCTAATCCTCATGTGACACAACAGATGTTTAATGGGCTTAAGGCTCAAGACACTGAGAACATACACTAAAGTACTTCCCTGGAATGCCTATTTGTCACGAAAACTGTTTCATTTGATGATCTGTGGAAATTCAAACAATCAAAAATAAGAGCGTAGGGAAAACAAGAAATTGTCACTAAAGTAGTTTAACTTATGTCAAAGGGGAAAAGTAGGTACTAACAAGCTTAGAAATAAACATTTAAAAATTGTAACCTTAGACTGTAACCAGAGTCAGTGAAGAGTGACAATGGAAATAAATGCTACAGTTTGCTACATATTGAAATATGAAATAAATTAATCAGGGACAGAAATCAGTATACATTAGAGAAAAATGTTATTAAACTGAATTGAAAATGTCAAATGTAGAATACCTGTGAGACGATCAGGGGTTTTTACTTCTTTGGGCAGCTGGTAATTTATCCACAGACTTAGCTCTTTCTTTTCAAGAATGAGTGATTGAGTGATTTATGAATATTTCTACAGAAAAGCTGATTCCAGTGGTAAGCTGTGACAATCTCAAGTCCAATTGATTTCCCTTTGATTTTAGCGGCAATGTACTGGGAAACTGTCATTTTCTACTAGTGACTAGTGACCTGTGTCTCTGCATGTCTGTCTTCCTTTACTTTTGTAAACACCACATGGTGTCTCAGAGAATGGGAGCGGTCTGTGGTTTGTGAGGTGAGGATGGTGATGGGGAAGACAGCAGGTTCTCTTACCTGTATGATAGACATGCGGTTAGTAGGTGTGTCTGTAGTGCTGGTGACTGGGCCTGTGAAGCTGGTGTGGCATCCCACGTGGCCTTGGGGCACGCTGAGGTTATTGGCAGTGGGCTTGAGGTACATGACCTCTGACCGTGGTGAGCTGAGTGGCAGACGTGTCTGGTAGTCAAAGTACATGGGAGAGGTGGCCAAGGAAGGGCTGCTTACCACATTCATCACATTCATGGCA